ACATATTGGTTTGATGAACACTAAATATGGAAGAATATAAAAACTTTTCTTTCATGCTTCTGTTTTGTTTTTTATTTTTATTTTCAAAATTTAGTGTTTTGATATTAATTCTAGATTTGATCATTTTATTAGATGATAGAAGCCTTTTTTGTTTTTTATTCTTTTATTTAAATATATAATATTTTTTTAATAAATGACTTTGTGACAATATGACTCTAAATAATTATGTTTTTTGGTATAAGATTGAATAAACTGAAAACCGATGGTAAATAAACCAAATCAAACTGAAGTACGTATAGATTTAGAATAGTAGTTATATTTTAATGATCGAAATACCAAAAATCGAACCGAACCGAAACCCGATATCCGGATTGAACACCTCTAATCCGAATGAAACCGAACTATTGTTTCATTTTTAAAAACATAATAAAAATAATAGCTTTATCCCGTGTAAGGCGCGGGTCTTATCCTAGTTAAATTATAAACAAGAAACATATTTTGTTAAATAAGAAAGAGACAAATATACATTATTAAAATAGAAAGAAATAAACAAACATTATTAACGTATAAAACAAATCAGAAACATTGAAGCTTGGATTCAAGTGTTAAACTTTTAACAATGAAAGTGTTGAAAATTCAGAATATAATTAGGTGACTTCAACAGTCATAAAGATTCAATGAAAAAAAGTTGTTACCCAACCCTTGTGGCGTAATTTGATTGTTGTTCAACTTTTTTTAATTTTCATCCAAGAAATTAAATTTATTTATTATATAATATTTTGTTTTAAAATAATATATTTCTGAGAATTCTTGATATTTTATGATCTATATATAAAGATAAATTTCATTTGGTTAAATATCACTTGATGTTAACAAGATTCCATTTCAATCTTGTAAAGAGAGCGACAAAATAGGAATTCTATAAATACTTTATATATATGCTATATGCAAACTTATGTATTTTTCTGTTTTGGTAGTTATCAAACTTTTTTCCAATACCTCATTGCATATGGTTTAACAAGCAGAGGAAGTTAGTCATCGTAGTTTTTGTCCCTTTTTTAACTTTTCTCGTATTAAAGTGGCTTAGTATGCGAATAATTAAATTCACAAATATCTTTATTCTTGTTCAAATCCTAAAGTAAAAACAAAGGTGAGCGATCGTACAAAAAAGAAGATAAAAACTAGAAAAAACATTATTCCCAAATATTTTTTTGTTTTGGTAGCTATCAATTTTTTTTTGTCCAGTATCTCATCGCATATGGTTTAACAAGCAAATGAAGTTAGTCATTGTAAGATTTTGTCCTATTTTCAACTTTTCTCATATTAAAGTGGCTTAGTATGCAAATAATTAAATTCACAAATATCTTTATCCTTATTCAAATCCTAAAGTAAAAAAAAGAGTGAACGATCGTACAGAAAAGAAGATAAGAACTAGGAAAAAAATGATTCCCAAATCTTTGTCACTATCCAAATAATCGTATACCGATGCAAACTTGTAATGATGGTTTAGCATTTAAGAAAGGTAATTATGAATATTGTCAAATGATATTACTAGTAGTATTAGGTTTCGAATGGCAAAAGCAGATCAAGCGGTTCATGCAGATCAAGCAGGACAAGTGCAGATAAAGCAGGACAAGTGCAGATCAAGCGGATCAAGCAGGAGAGATGCAGATCAAACAATTTATCATAAATTATGAATGACAAAATAAGTTCAAAACTATAGATCATATATTAAAAGAATAAAATTATACCAAATATCAATATAAATATTTAAATGTTGCAGGATCAGTCTAAATGTTTATTGGATTTTTCATAAGATGCTTGTAGTGTTTTAGTTGATCAAAATTATTTTTGAATAACAGACATCTTAATATTTAATTCTTTGTTAATATTTATATATAAAAATGGAGATAAAACAGATTAAATAATTTATTATAAATTATAAATGACAAAATATGTTCACATTGTATATTATATATTAAAATAATAAAAATTACACCAAATATCAAAACAAATATTTCAGATGTTGTATGTTCAGCCAAAATGTCTGTAAAATTTTTATTAGATGCTTATACTTCTTCTATTTATTAATTATTTTAAAATATAAAATAATTTTTTTTGCTGACACTTATGTAGAAAAATTTATATTTTTCGTGGAAAATATTGTTTTTTGGCGATTAGACATCATGCTTATAACTTTAAAATGATACAAATAATATTAATGTGAACTATATAGTTTGAGTTAATAATTGTACATTATTTATAAAATCAAATAAATATATTTTAAAGTTAAGTGTTTGTAATAAAACTATTTATTAGTAAAAGGAAAAAAAAAAGGCAGATCAACACCACCAAATGTTAGCGGATAGGATCTGCATGCAGATCTCCTGCTTTTTCTACTAAAAGACAAAAAAAATGAACTGCATGCAGATCTCCCGCTTGAACTGCTTTTACAAACAGAAAACAGTGAATGGTAAACATAAGGCAGGAGAACTGCCTATTGCGGGAGAACTGCATGATCTGCTTTTGTCCTGCCCCTCCCATTCACAAATATCTTTATCCTTGTTCAAATCCTAAAGTAAAAAAAAGAGTGAACGATCGTACAGAAAAGAAGATAAGAACTAGGAAAAAAATGATTCCCAAATCTTTGTCACTATCCAAATAATCGTTTACCGATGCAAACTTGTAATGATGGTTTAGCATTTAAGAAAGGTAATTATGAATATTGTCAAATGATATTACTAGTAGTATTAGTTTTGTATTAGAATTCTAACTATACGTAATCAAATGCCAGACTTTTCAGTTTCTCGAACGAAACCGATCCTGATAAATTTGTAACTAAAAAACAATTACACATTGCATAGGCTGAGCTGTTCGACATTTATATTCTTAATCACACAAATAGAGGCTATAGAGGCAGAAAAACTTACAAAAGGCATCTCTTTTTTGGGTTTGGAAGTATCAAAATTTGGAAATAGTAGAGGCGTTTAATGAAATAACCATAGGGATCAAATAGCAATTATGGAATAGATATTAAGAAGTAACCTGGGTATTGTTACGTAACTAGGACCCACAGGAAAGCAGAGGGAAATAACGCGGAACGTGGAGCCCAAACGACAAGGGCATAATAGTCATTCTCTTTTTCATTTAATAATTAATTTACTAAAATTGACCTCCAACCGTCTCTGCACTCCTTAAAAATAGAGTCTCCCTCACTCCCCTCTTCGTACACTCTCTTTGTTCCCCTTTTTCGAATTTTCGTTTCCTTCTCTCATAAGCTTTCATCCAAAATGTCCTCTCGTGGTGGTCACAGTGGCGCTGGACGCGGCCGTAGATCCGATCAAAAGCAAGAGCAGTCCTCCGGTGCCGTTTCGTGGCCGGCACTGCAAAGCTCCTCCGCCGCTCGTGGCGGTTCGGTTTCTGGCGGGAGAGGTCGCGGCGGAAGGGGAAATACTCCCGCCGTTTCATCTTCTCCGTCGGACGTTGTTTCCGGCGTCATCGGAGCGGTGGACGTTGCTTCGTCGTCGTCCGTACGTGAGAAGCCTAAGGTCGCTGCGTCTGATGCCGGTTCGTCTCTCGGTCAAGAGTTAGCGGAGAAAGTGAAGATCACTCCGGAGACGACGGTTCCTCCGGCGTCGTCGAAGGCGGTGAGGTTTCCGGTCAGGCCAGGGTTTGGTCAAGCGGGGAAGAAAGTGACGATTCGTGCGAATCACTTCCTCGTTCAAGTTGCTGATAGAGATCTCTATCACTATGATGTAATAAGACTCCTTCGTGTTTTCTACTTTCTTGTTTTTATTATATGACCATTGCTTTTTGTATTCGCGTTCCGTACTTGTTTTGTCGTTTAGTGTTGTTGTTGCTTTGTCCTGGGTGAGACTTTTTGAGTTGATATTTGTTTGCTCACAGGTTTCTATCACTCCTGAGGTTGTTTCGAAGAAGGTGAACAGGGAGGTGATGACAACTTTGGTGAGGACCTATGGAGAATCACACATGGCGAAGAAGATTCCTGCGTATGATGGAAGGAAGAGTTTATACACTGCTGGGGCTCTGCCTTTTGAGACTAAAGAGTTTGTTGTGGATCTGAATGACAAANTTCGAAGAAGGTGAACAGGGAGGTGATGACAACTTTGGTGAGGACCTATGGAGAATCACACATGGCGAAGAAGATTCCTGCGTATGATGGAAGGAAGAGTTTATACACTGCTGGGGCTCTGCCTTTTGAGACTAAAGAGTTTGTTGTGGATCTGAATGACAAAAAACCTCCTGCTTCGTCCAAGTAATGATTTTTTTTTCCTTAATGTTAGGGAACTACACGTTGGTTTTACCGTGTTTGACTTTGCGGATTTTTGTATTGGCAGGAGGGACAGGAAGTTCAAAGTTGCTTTGAAGCTGGCTTCTTCAAGGCCTGATCTTTTTCAGTTGCAGGAGTTTCTCCGTCGCAAACAGAGAGATGCTCCTTACGAGACCATCCAAGTTCTGGATGTTGTTCTTAGAGATCAGCCATCCCAGAAGTACGTAGAGACTTAAAACGTTTACCTATTGGACTAAATATTGACTAAACATTGACTGTATTGCTTTATGCTCTCAGGTATGTTGCTGTTGGGAGGTCTTTCTTCGACCCCAGCTTGGGAAGGAGGGGTGAGCTTGCTGATGGTGTTGAGTACTGGAGCGGGTATTTCCAAAGTCTCAGACTCACTCAGATGGGACTCTCTCTTAACATTGGTATGAACTTATTAGATGTTTTCCTGAGTTGTTGCGGTTGTTTTGTTGGTTGAGATTTTGAGTAGTTCATGTGTTCATTTCTTATGATGCAGATGTGTCCGCTAGATCTTTCTATGAACCAATCCTGGTCACTGAATTCATCGGCAAGTACCTGAATCTGAGGGACTTTAACAGGCCACTGAGGGACTCAGATCGTGTCAAGGTATCTTATCTGATGTGTATTCAACCGGTTCAGTAGTTATCTTGTAGAAGATGGTGCAGTTGTTCATACGGTTTTTATCTCGTATATTATATGATGGTGCCCAGGTGAAGAAAGCATTGAAGAGCTTAAAAGTTGAATTGGGGCACTTTAACTTCGCAAGAAGTTCCAAAATCAGTGGGATCTCCAGCTGTCCCATCAACGAGCTTAGGTGAAGTTGACTGTTCCAAAAAACCTGAATAAAATGTAGACTTGTTGGTTGGACTTTGTTTCATATCTTTGATTTCCTTGTTGCTGATGTTACATTTTCTTCATTTCAGGTTCACTTTAGAGGACAATACCCAAAAAACTGTTGTGCAGTATTTTGCTGAAAAGTATAATTTCAGGGTGAAATACCCGTATCTACCTGCTATCCAATCAGGGAGCGACTCAAAGCCTGCTTACTTCCCAATGGAGGTATACTTCAATTCCTAACATTTCATCAAGTCTTCACACTTCATCCTTTTTTAATTCACTTTGGTTTTTGCAGCTATGCCGAATAGCTGAAGGCCAGCGATACACCAAAAAGCTCAACGAGAGGCAGGTGACTGCGATGCTGAAAGCTACCTGCCAACGACCTGAAGCAAGAGAGAATTCAATCAAAGGGGTATATTTAGTCTTCTATGAATCACATTTACAACATGTCTTTTATTTTGCATCCTCTTTTAATAGACATCACGTTTGTTGTTCATATTGTTAGATGGTCAAGAATAATAAATATAACGAGATTGATCTTGTGAGGAAGGAGTTTGGAATGTCAGTGACTGATCAGCTAGCATCAGTTGAGGCTCGGGTCCTACCTCCACCACTGGTGATTACTCGATTCCGTTTTCAATTGTTCTTTCTTATTGCTATACAAATTCTCTTAACAATGGTGGTCACTACGAGATTCTGTTTCTGTCTACAGTTGAAATACCATGAGAGTGGCAGAGAAAAAATGGTGAATCCAAGGCTAGGACAGTGGAACATGATTGACAAGGTAAGACCTTAACTGACGTTCGCATTTTTTTTTCTTTTTACTCTCGGTAGGTACCTGAAAGCTAGTTTAAAAGAAAAAGTTAGTGACCGAGATTTGTGCCTACTGTTTCTATTGGTTTTACGTGTGATATCAAAATTTTCAGCCTTTTACATCGTTTTGATTGTTGTATATCTTTGTGTTTCAGAAAATGATTAATGGAGCAAGAGTTGCATCTTGGACTTGCGTGAGCTTCTCTACTCGGATTGACCGGAATTTACCACAAGATTTTTGCAAACAATTGATTGGCATGTGCGTCGACAAAGGAATGGTATGACTTGTTTCATGCTTTAGGATACTTATTTATTACAGTATCCTTTCATTCCACAAAGGTCGCTGACTGTTTTCTACATATACTTCCAGCAAGTCAATCCACAACCTGCTATTCCGTTCATCTCTTGCCAGCCTCAAAGAATTGAGGAAGCACTTTGTGATATCCACAAAAGGGCACCTGGTCTTCAAATGTTGATTGTAATATTGCCTGATGTCACTGGATCGTATGGTAAATCACTAAATCCTGATTGTAATACTGCTTAGTTGGTATTATGTGATGTAACTGATACCCACAATTTGGTTTCATCCACTTTTTTTTTGTCTGCAGGAAAGATCAAAAGGATCTGTGAAACAGAGCTAGGGATAGTATCCCAGTGTTGCCAACCAAACAATGTTCGTAAACTCAACAAACAGTACATGGAAAATGTTGCACTGAAGATTAATGTCAAGGTCTTGTGATCTAAATATCATTTTGTTTTATCGTTCCACTTGCTTATATTTATGATGCTGTAAATTTAATGAAGGGTTATTTGTATCAGGCTGGGGGAAGGAACACAGTCCTTGATGATGCCATTAGAAAAAGAATTCCTCTTATTAGTGATCGCCCTACCATAATCTTTGGTGCTGATGTAACTCACCCTCAAGCTGGAGAGGACTCGAGTCCCTCTATTGCTGCGGTATATCTTCATTTCTATTACTTCTATATCTCACTATCTTTTCTTATTCGGCTTATAAGTTGTTCTTTATATTTTTTAACCAAAGGTTGTGGCGTCTATGGATTGGCCTGAAATAACCAAGTATCGTGGACTGGTGTCTGCTCAAACTCATAGGGAAGAAATCATCGAGGACCTGTATAAGCTGGTGCAGGATCCTCAGAGAGGGCCAGTTCACTCGGGTATGATAAGGTAAGAACTGAAGCTCTACTATTTTTTCTTTCTTGTTTGTTACGATTTTGCAGAATCACGAAAAACAAGAATGTTGTGTTTCTGAATGCAGGGAACACCTCATCGCATTCAGGAGGGCAACAGGTCAAAAACCTCAGAGGATCATTTTCTATCGGTAAGTCATTCATGATAGGGCTTGAATATAATAATCTGTTTTGCTAATCGTTGTATCTTTATGTGCAGTGATGGTGTAAGTGAAGGACAGTTTAGCCAAGTGCTGTTGCATGAGATGACTGCAATACGTAAGGCCTGTGCTTCTCTCGAAGAGGGTTATCTTCCTCGTGTAACATTTGTGGTCGTCCAGAAACGGCACCACACACGTCTGTTTCCTGCTCAACATCAGAACCGTGACACTACTGATAGGAGTGGCAACATTCAGCCAGGTTTCTCACCATAGTCTGATATTTATTAGCTTTAATTCGTTTTGATCATATGTCAACATTTTTACATTCTCTTCTTATAGGTACCGTTGTGGATACCAAAATCTGTCATCCAACAGAGTTTGATTTCTATTTGAACAGTCATGCTGGCATTCAGGTAATCCATAATTTCCCCTAGTATAGTTAAACATCTTATAGCCAGTCTCAGTATCAGGAACCATAAGTTGCTTTTGTTTGGTTTAGGGAACAAGCAGGCCTGCACATTACCATGTGCTTGTGGACGAGAATGGGTTCACTGCTGATGGGTTACAAATGCTCACCAATAACCTTTGCTACACGTAAGGAACAACATTTACATTTTGCGTTTGACATTTTAATAATAGAGAAGTTGTATAACCAAAGAAAACATTGGGTCTTAAACCGCAGGTTTGCTAGGTGCACAAGATCTGTCTCAATTGTGCCACCGGCTTACTATGCCCACTTGGCTGCATTCAGGGCTCGATATTACATGGAAAGCGAGATCTCTGATGGAGGTTCAAGCAGGAGCAGGAACACAACCGCAAGCACGAGTGCAGTTGTTGCGCGTCTTCCATCAATCAAAGATAACGTCAAGGACGTTATGTTCTACTGCTGATCAAACACACTTCCTTGGCTACTACCCAACTGAAAGGAATAAATAATTAAACTCTCTACCTTTCGGTTTTGGTTTTGTCACAACTTACCTTTTGTGGTTTAGCTGTGAATATTTTGGATGATGCGGCTAATACTCTCTCTTAGGACTTTTATGCGTTTTGGTTTTACCACGATGATCTGACTTTTGTTGTGGAAAATGGAAAAGGTTTTAACTATGGTTTTCCTTTACACTGTTATGTTGCCTGTTAATCTGAATTATCAGTTTATAATCAGTGAATCATCTACATTTTACTCTGCATTGTTTGTCCTCGTTGTCCTCTAAAGCTCTTTACTTCGTTGGTAATCTGATTCTGAGTAGTATAAGGGTCTGATTACTAGATTTTAGTGATTAGATTCCGGATCGGTTTATTGGTTTATTGGCTCCTTTATGATGGTTCATTTGTCTCCATCATTTTGTTTATGTACAATATATGGAACGTCGAGAGTGCGATTATGAACTCAAGAGATGTGTTAACTTTGCTAAAGTGAGTCACAACTCCACCTAATTCTATAAAATGATCCTCTAATCTTATACTCATGTAGCTGATCTCGAAAAGTTTATCTTAAGAAGTTACACATGAAGATTATCAACATTTTTTTTTTCTTCGATTTATATGCAAAAATTTTATTCTTCGCTTTCTTTTTCTTGGCGAAGAAATTGCGACAAGCAATTCACCATGTGATAGCATGATTAAAGAAATTTAGAAGTCTTTACACTGAATCACTCAATGGAATATTGAAATATCAGAGATAGATTTTATTTTTTTCTTGAACTTAATATTTATTAGAGATAGACTTTGTGACCAAACATTCAAGTTAAATGCTACTAATAGTCTTTGTGACACCACCAGACGTTCAAATTAAATTTTAGTATTAGTCTTTGTGACACCAAACGTTCAAGTTAAATTTTACAAATAGTTTTGTTACACCAAACGTTCAAGTAAAATTTTACCAATACACACTTAGATTTTGTAACAAATATTAGATATTTTCTGTTTTACAAATACTTTTGTCAAAATAATGTTTTACAAATAATAATTAACAAACCACTAGTTATTCATTAACACTATTCAAATAAAAGTTGTCAGATATCAGTAACTATCACCTTAGCTCAAATGATATTTACTAGTATTAATTATTTTTAGCTATACTAAATATGATAATCAAATGCCAGAAGATTCAACGTCTCCAACTGATAAAGTTGTAATTAAAAAAAATATTTTAAAAGATTGAATAAGCTGAGCTTGTCTGCATTCATTGTTAATCACAAATAGAGCAAAAACGTAAAGAAGGCATCTGTTCATTTGGGTATGTAGTAGTATCAAATTTGGAAAGAGTAGAGTTGGTATGAATTAACTATAGGGGTCGGAATAACAATTATGGAATAGTTTGTTAACAATTAGTTACGAAGTAGGAGGATCCCACGAGAAAGTAAGAAAATTACGACGAAAGCGACGAGGGCATTATTGTCATTAAAGTGATGTTTTTAATTATTATTTTTTAAAAAAATTGGACTATCAACCACCTCTTCACTCCTTTAAAAAGAAAGTCTCCTCACTCCATTCTTCTTCGTAAACACTCTCTGCTTTCTTTCTCTTTCCCTTTTCGAAATTTAGTTTTCTTCTCTCCTAAGCTTTCCTTCGAAAATGTCGACTCGTGGTGGTTACGGTGGCGCTAGACGCGGCGGAGGTGGCCGTCAATCCGACCAGAGGCAAGAGCAGTTCCCTGATCTCGCTTCGTGGCCGGCACTGCCAAGCTCCGGAACTCCTCGTGGCGGTTCGGTTTCTGTCGGGAGAGGTCGCGGTGGTAACGCTGGACGAGGAAACATTCCAGTCGTTGCTTCCAGAGACCGGAATCCGAGTTCATCTTCTCCGTCGTCGGATGTTGCTTCGTCGTCGTCTTCAGCGATCTCTGCGTCTGGTTCGGGTTCGTCTCTTGGTCAAGAGTTAGCAGAGAAAGTCCAGATCACTCCGTCGTCTTCGAAGGCGGTGACGTGTCCGTTTCGGCCAGGGTTTGGTCAAGCGGGGAGGGAAATAATGATTCGTGCGAATCACTTCTTCGTTCAAGTTGCTGACAGAGAACTCTTTCACTACGATGTAATAAGTCTCCTTCCTGTTTTCTACTTTTTTTTTTTTTTATTATATGACAAATCGTTGGCTTGGTTACTTTTCTTCAGTTTTATGACAACCTCGTACGCAAGCATTACGGACTTGTTGGGTTGTGGATGAGACTTACTGAGTTTAAATTAATTTGTTTGATCACAGGTTTCAATCACTCCTGAGGTTAAGTCGAAGAAGTTGAACAGGCACGTGTTGAAAACTTTGGTTGATACTTACAAAGAATCAGACATGGCGAAGAAGATTCCTGCTTATGATGGCATGAAGAGTCTCTACATTGCTGGGCCTCTTCCTTTCGAGTCTAAAAAGTTTGATGTTGACTTGAATGACAAAAATGATGCTTCTGCTTCATCATCCAAGTAATGCTTTCTTTGCTTTTTATTTATTCTAGTTTGATCGTTCTTTTTACATTAATTTTTTGGTTGCTTTTGGGCAGGAGGGACAGGAAGTTCGAAGTTACTATAAAGCTGGCGTCAAAACCTGATCTTTCTCAGTTGCAGGAGTTTCTCCGTCAGAAACGGGTAGATGCTCCTTACGACACGATCCAAGTTCTGGATGTTGTTCTCAGGGATCAGGCATCCCAAAAGTACGTAAAAGACTTGAACATTGTACTGTATTGGACTAAACATTTGACTAAAAACAACATTCACTGTATTTGCAGTTACATTACTGTTGGGAGGTCTTTCTTCGACCTCAGCTTGGGAGACAGAGGTGTGCTTGCTGATGGTGCCGAGTACTGGAGTGGGTATTTCCAAAGTCTCAGACTCACTCAAATGGGTCTGTCTCTTAACGTTGGTAAGAACTTAACTACATGTTTAGCTTTGTATGATTTATTTGTTGGATATATATTTTCCATGCATTATTAACTGTATTTTTCATTTATTTATGATTCAGATGTGTCTGCTAGACCGTTCTATGAACCGATCCTTGTCACTAAATTCATCAGCGAGAACCTGAACCTGAGAAAATTAGACAGGCCACTGAGTGAATCAGATCGTGTCAAGGTATCTTATCTTACGTATATTCAACCAGTTATCTTATACAAGACGGTGCAATTGTTGATATGATCTTTATCTTGTATATCATATGGTGGTGTCTAGGTGAATAAAGCATTGAAGAACTTAAAGGTTGAATTGGAACATTTTGGCTTCACAAGAAGTGCCAAGATCAAAGGGATTTCCATCCGTCCCATCAGGGATCTTAGGTTGTTTCAAAAGCCCTAAATAAAATGCAGTCTTGTTGGTTGGACTTTGTTTGGTGTCTTTGTTTTCCTTGTTGTTGGATATTTACTTATTTTTCTTTTCAGATTCACATCAGAGGACAACACCCAAAAAAATGTTGTGCAGTATTTTGCTGAGAGGCATAATTACAGGGTGAAATACCCGAATCTACCTGCTATCCAATCAGGGACTGACTCAAAGCCCGTTTACTACCCAATGGAAGTAATGATTCAGTTTCAAACATTTTTTTTTTTATTGTTTTTTAGTTCAGGTTTCTATCATTAAAGATCTGCCTACTTTGGATTTTGCAGGCATGCCGAATAGCAGAAGGCCAACGATACACTAAAAAGCTCAACGAGAGGCAGGTGTCTGCGATGCTGAAAGCTACCCGCCAACGACCTGAAGAAAGAGAGAATTCAATCAAAGGGGTATATTTAGTCTTCTATGAATCACATTTACAATAATTGCTCGTCTTCATTTTTCCTTCACGTTTATTGTTTTCTATTGTTAGATTGTCGAGAAAACCAATTATAACGAGATTGATCTTGTGAGCAAAGAGTTTGGAATGTCAGTGTCGGGTCAGTTAGCCTCGTTAAAGGCTCGTGTCCTACCTCCACCCATGGTGACTCCTTTTTTTTATTTATTTATTTTTATTGCTTTTCTTTTTATTTATATGCATTTTCTTTTTAAATGTTTGTCACTACTAAATGTTGTTTCTGTTCTGGCTACAGTTGAAATACCATGAAAGTGGTAGAGAAAAAACAGTGAATCCAAGGCTAGGACAGTGGAACATGATTGACAAGGTAAGACTGCAATTGAAAGTTAATTTAGAAGAGTGTTTGTAATTTTCCTGCTTTGATAAAATATTATGCTAAACTGCTTTGCATTGGGATACTGAAAAAAGGCGATGACGATTTGTGCCTAATGCATCTATTGATCTTTCGTGTAATAACAAAACTTTCAGCCTCTTACATCGTTTTGGGTTTTTATTTTTTGTGTGTTAGAAAATGATTAATGGCGCAAGAGTTGAATCTTGGACTTGTGTAAATTTCTCTTCAAGGATTAATCAGGAGTTACTTAAAGAAACGTTCTGCAATCAATTGATTGGCATGTGCGTCGACAAAGGAATGGTATAACTTGTTTCATACTTTAGAATGCTTTATTTGTTACACTCTCCGTTGCTGACTGTTGTTTAATGTTTACTTCCAGCAATTCAATCCACAACCTGTTATTCCGCTCACCTTTTACAAGCCTGACAAAATTGAGGAAGCACTTCGTGATATCAATAAAAAGGCACCTCATCTTCAAATTCTGATTGTAATATTGCCTGATGCCACTGGTTCTTATGGTAAGTCTCTGAAGTTAGTGGTTTAATGTAAATTATACAAACAATCGTGTAATCTTTATTTGTTTGTATGCAGGAAAAATCAAAAGGATATGTGAAACTGAGCTAGGGATCGTTTCCCAGTGTTGCCAACCAAACAATGTTCGTAAACTCAACAGACAGTACATGGAAAATGTTGCATTGAAGATTAATGTCAAGGTCTTGTCATCTATGTTTCATTTTGTTTTATCGTTCCACTTGTTTATATTTATGATTCTGTAAATTTAAGGGTTATTAGTATTACAGACTGGGGGACGGAACACAGTTCTTGATGATGCCATTAGAAGAAGAATTCCTCTGATTAGTGATCGCCCGACCATAATCTTTGGTGCTGACGTGACTCACCCTCAACCTGGAGAGGACTCCAGTCCTTCTATTGCTGCGGTCTTATATCTTCACTAGTTTTTTTAACTTTTCTCTCACTATATATCTTTTCTTATTCAGCTTATAAGTTTCTCTTTATATTTTTTTAACCAAAGGTTGTGGCGTCTATGGATTGGCCTGAGATAACCAAGTATCGTGGACTGGTGTCCGCTCAGAGTCCTAGGAATGAAATCATCGAGGACCTGTATAAGGAGGTGCAGGATCCTCAGCGAGGGACAGTATACTCTGGCATGATAAGGTAATAACAGAAGCTCTACTCTCTTTTTTTTTTTGTTTGCTTCGATTTTCTAGATCCACAGAAACAAAAAAACAAAAAGGAACATTGTGTTTTTGAATGCAGGGAACATCTCACTGCATTCAAGAAAGCGACAGGTAAAACACCAGGGAGGATCATATTTTATCGGTAAGTCTGTATTGATGGGTTTTGGATGTTAATAATTTATTATTATTTTCTGCTAATAGTTTTATTTTTATATGCAGCGATGGTGTAAGTGAAGGACAGTTTAGCCAGGTGCTGTTGCATGAGGTGACTGCTATACGTAAGGCCTGTGCCTCTTGGGGAAAGGGTTGTAGTCCACGTGTCACATTTGTGGTCGTCCAGAAACGACATCACACACGTTTGTTTCCCGAGAAACATGAAACTGATAAGAGTGGCAACATTCAGCCAGGTTTCTAACAACAATCTGCTCTTTATCTGCTTTTATTCGTTTTGATATTTGAAACATTTTTTGCATTTTCTTATTATAGGTACCGTCGTCGATACCGAAATATGTCATCCAACGGAGTTCGATTTCTATTTGAACAGCCACGCTGGCATTCAGGTAATCAATAATTTCCCCTACTACAGTTAAATATCCTAGCCAGTCTCATCATTAGGAACTATAAGTTTCTCTTGTTTGGTTTTAGGGAACAAGCAGGCCTACACATTACCATGTGCTTGTGGACGAGAACCGTTTCACTCCCGATGCTTTACAAACGCTCACCAACAACCTTTGCTACACGTAAGGAACAATAACACTACCTTTTTGCCAACAATAGAGAAATTCTCTAACCAAAGAAAACATTGGTCTTAAATCACAGGTATGCAAGGTGCACGAGATCTGTCTCAGTTGTGCCACCGGCTTACTATGCACACTTGGCTGCGTTCAGAGCTCGTTACTACATGGAAAGTGAGAACTCTGATGGCGGTTCGAGCAGAAGCAGGAACACAACCGCAAGCACGAGTGCAAATGTCTCGCCTCTTCCAGCAATTAAAGACAATGTCAAGAACGTTATGTTCTTCTGCTGATGAAACTCACTTTCTTGGCTACTAGCCAACCGAAAGAAATAAATAATTAAACTCTCTACCTTTCGGTTTTGGTTTTCTCTTAGACTATTATCTGACTCAGAAGTTGAATATGTTCCTTTCTGCGTTAGTTTTCTACTAATTATTACTACCCGGGGTTGCTGTTAATCCGGAATGCCAGTTTATAATCAGTGAATCATCTGTATTTGACTATGCATTGTTTTGTTCCCCTTGTCCTCTAAGCTTGTTACTTTGTTGGTAATCTGATTCTGAGTAAAATCAGGCTCTGATTACCATATTTTAATGATTAGATTCAGGATCGCTTAATTGGTTTGGTGAGCAGCAACTATGATGAACTTGACATTTTTTTTATAAAATTGGAAAATTTTCATAGCGGTTTTACATAACTCTGTTTATACGGGGTTCTTAAAATTCTTTTCTTTTTCTTGTTACTGACTTAATATTTATTTAAATTCAGGATTTTTTTTGTCTTATAATACTTAAATAAAAAATATGTTTATCACAAACATAAATTTATTTATCTAAAAAATAATAATAATGATATTTTCGATTTAAGTTGTTATTATCAACGTGTAATGTTTTCAATTTTTTTATTACATATAAATATGAAAGTATATAATTTTTAAATTAACATTATATTTAGGGTGTTTGACTATTTTTTAATTATCCTTTTTTTCAAATATTATTATCTTTTGTTAGATTAGTATGGCATTGGGAGGTAGAGCTTAACGTTGATTATAATAAAGAATTATACTATCGAATTAATTTTTTTTAGCAAATAAAGATAATGTAGCCATTCATAGCTTGATACATAGTTTTACAGTTCTTAAATAATAGAAATTACATTAGATATTTCCACTAACGGTGTTCGTAGGTAATAAATTGGCAATCCAACCTTATCTTCTCGATGTTCTAATAAACGGGATATACACTTCGTGCCAACAAAGTGAAGTCGAAGTTACAAATAGTCGAAACCTTTGTTAACGTAAGTTTACCAGAAACTCATATGAAAGTGCAAACTCAAAACAAATACAATTGTCACGGTTTAAACCGACATCAACACTCATTTTTTTAGGCATACCGCATACTATCTGCCTCAGACGGAATATGTCCACTGGGCTCATCCGGTTCCACCGTTCCAGTAAAACAAACAGAATTTTCTTTTTACAATGTTAACCAAACCGATTGAATTTGTTTCAGTCTTGGTAGAAAATTCGATGAAGCGTGAACAATGGCTCTTCTTGCTTTTGCATTTGTATTGGGTGGTGTAAATTTGAGGACATGCCCTTATAAGTTACCTTTGGTTGCTTGTGGGTTTTGTGCAAAAGATCCTCCTGAAGTTGTACATTCTTGAATGGATTGCAACTCACCTTTCCTCTACTTTAAATACTTAAATGTCTCAATATTTTTTGTTGTAGTATTAGATCCCTAAACCCGATTTTAATATGCAAAAGCTTTTAGACATCAAGAAGTTATACCATTTTATTTTGAAAGAATTTGCTCCAACACCAAAATGGGAGCTTATATTAAAGAAGTGTCTATGATCTGACATAAAAACAAAATTTTATACAATTAGGACTTGGTTGGACATTGAAACCTCTCTAACACTCTCATTCTTCTCCTTTTTTACACTCTCTTTCCATTTCTCCCATTGTTTTCTTATTATACTTTTTTTTTCCAATTTGTTTTTCATCTAAATAATTTTTATTCATTAAAAACTAATTGACACACAAAACAAAATAATTTTTATTCGTTAAAAACTAATTAACATAGGAAACAAAGTATTGACTTGTTTAATTATACCACAGATTGAAAAAAATCAACATTGCAATATCTTTAAAATTACCGATTGTTAACAAATGTGTTATCTGTAACAAATAAATAAATGTTAATAGAAGTGTTAGCTGTTAACAAATACATGTACCAGAAGTGTTAGCTGTTAATAAATATTGTAGATCTTAACAGAAGTGTTAGTTGTTAACAAATACATGTAATATATGTGGTAACAGAATTGTTAGCTGCTAACAATTATTGTAAATGCTAACAGAAGTGTTAGATATTAGCTGTTAACAAATAAATAATTTAATTTTTTTAATTTTTCTATCACAATGAGTAAATATAAAAAATCAAAGTTATTCTTTAAAACCACTTAGAAAATAAATATATATATTTGAATGAGTGGAAAAATAAGAACAAATAAAATTGAAGATCTAAAGCTACATATGAAACAAAAAATAAAAATTAAAAGTGAAATGGATATAAAATGATAAAGATTTACATAATAATTAGAGATTAAAGTCACTGAGATGACAGAGCTACATGAGTAGGAGGAGAGAGAATGAATGCAATTTGGTCAACAAATTTGAAAAAAACAAATCAGGTGTAAACCTCAAGTTAGAGGTCCAAATATGGTGTCTCAGTCAATTATCTATTTTATGTTTAAGATTGAGTTTTTTTTTCTCTTCTTATTTTGATAGATGAAGAATTTCATTGTTATATATATATATATATATATATATATATATATATATATATATAATTCAAGATTTCTTATTATTATATTTGAAAATAATAATTCATTTGTATTTATGTTGTTAATTACAGAAATTTGTGTCTAACGTTTGATTTAAAATCATCAATTAAACGGAAAGGTGACTCATCCCTTATGTTGTTGTGTCCATGTTTGCGATGTGAATTTGTAAAGAATTGTCAAAAGACTTCAAAGTTGTGGTGACTTCATTATTTCACCAACCATTTTTAATGCAACACATGGCTCATCTACTGGTACATGTTGCTACAATAGAACACATACAACATAACTAGTTTGTTTTAACTTGTTCTTGTAATTTACCTTTCCCAATTTCTCCACTAGAACCATTCATTAATATGTTGCGTGTCAATGTTGAAAGAGTTATATTTAAAAATTGTTGATGTAATAAAAAAGCAGAGAAAACTATAAAAGGAAAAATCACACAGATTCAGACAGTGTGAATTATTAAAGAAAGGCAGTCTGCAGCTTGATTTTTTTTTTGTGAAAATATAGAGAAAATGCAAAAAAAGAAGATAGATAAAACATTGAGAAACATACACAAAAGATACTTATGCTTTCGTTTAATAGATGCATCATCTCTCACATTATTTCAATAAATATGGATGAAAAAAATTATCTGCCTACAGTATATTCTCATGTACTGACAGTTTTTGCAACGGAAAATTATGACAAATATAAACCTACTATAGTACAAATTCGACATAAAAAACTGTCAAAAAATCATATATAGTTATTTGTTTGTTGGTGAAAAGAAAAAAGAGAAATGTTACTTACGAAATGTCCAGCTCCAAGAATCCAGTAGAAATGGAGATTCTTGAATGATTTTGTGAAGCCTCTTGTTCTTTCTCTATCATTTTCACAGTATAATGGTTCTATGTCCATCTTCTTAAACTCTTGTATCCCCTCCCACCTTACATATCCATCATCATCATAGCAAATAGTTAAATATCAACAACCTTAGCTGACGTATTTATCATTTCCTATGTATCGTCATTTTCAACTACTGTTATCATTATGATTTACTGAATATAGGTATACTAAAGAACAATGAATAAACTTTATAAAATGACTCATCGGTGTTTCCATTTGAACACATGTTAGATTCCATTTTTTGTTCATTCTTCATTGTAAATGTGGATGATGAAATGTAAATCAAACTTAGGAAAGTAGTTAAGTCTTACTTGTGGTTGTGAACCCATGCTTCAGTTCCACTTGTTGAGCAGATAACATCAAGCTGCGTATAACCACATCGCATTTTATATTATATTTGAATGAACGATTTTGCAACGCAAATGAACTCTTCATCTTTCATATGAGTATAAAATTTGACGTTAATGGTCGTACTTGTCCATTATAGATGGTCACATCTACTCCCTTGGCAAGAAGCTCATCCACCTGCCAAGTCGTATATTGTTTTTAATCAAAAATATCATATCTAACGTTCAAATACTTAAAAGATTTGAGGAAATATTATTACGCGTTCGATTGTGGGTCTCATAAAATCAGCTTGCATTGCTGTAAACACATCACCCGAATTGTTCCCCCATCTATTAATTTCTCAAACAAAAAAATGAATAATTAAATAGCATGTTATAGATCTATACTTTGAACAACTAAAATCAACTAATATTAATTAAGATTAATATTACGTGATTAAGAAGTTTCTTACGAGAGGTCTTTAGGAATAATCTTGAGCTTCCTTTTGATAATGCCGTTCATTAATTTATCAAGGTTTCCTTCATCATCTGCACTCGACCTTCTCAAATCACTTAAATATCTTGATTACTTTTTTAATAATCTGTTTTCTTTTCTTGTTTCTTCACTCGTTGTGAGCGAGAGAGGGTCCATCCCAGAATCCAATAAGAAGTTGTAAAAATCCTATATTAAAAAAAGTTATTATTTTTTCATTAGTATTCTGACTAATATAATTGCATATACGTGAATAATATGTAATAATAATATATATAAAACAGAAAAAAATATTGAGAAAGAATTACGACAGAATTGGAGTTGACGCTAATCATGGATTCGAGTTCCATCCATGTTTCCGTGGCTTCGACGTATTCGCCATTCGTTAGTTGTTTTCTGATCTTCTCAGCTAAGCTGCTCCAACAACAATTATATATATAAGTCAGATGATTAATCATAGAGTAATAAGAAAAATGGGGTTTGTATTAAGAAAGACCTATGTCAAGGATACGATAGTATCCCGAAGATATGCGAGAATATTTTTATCATCTACTCTTAAGGAATGTATAGTTATTAGCTTAACTTAGCTCTCAAGTAAACTCTTGTATAAATACTTCTGTATATGCTTCGACTAATAATAAGACAACAAGTTCATATGGTATCAGCGCCCACGATCCACGCAGTCCAACCCGATCTTTATCGATCCATCCCAAAGTCGGCCCATCGATCCTTGCCCGAACATTCCGAGATTGATGCCAGAGAGCCATCATCTCGAGGGGGCGTATTAGACACAAAGTGTCCCACATCGGAAGTTGGAAGAGATCATTAGTGGTATATAAGATAGATGGGCCACTCCACTAATAACCAATTGGTTTTAAGTTGGAAGTCCATCTAGCTTAACATTAGAGAGATCCTTGCCCTTGTAATCAAGCCTCGAGACATAGTTAAGAAGAGGTCCCCATGAATACTGTAACCATTATTTAATCAAAATCAAAATCACAACTATATCATTCATTTATCACATAAATGTGGTATTACTACCTTTGTATCATATTGTGTTGAAGATTTTAGTTTCGTATTTTTTTTTTATATATTCGATGGTTTTAATACATATTCAGATATACATAAATCCAAAATTCTACGAATTTCAGAGACTAATCTGGATTGTGGCATTCTTGTTAAAATATATCATCGATTATTGTTACCACTTTTCAGCTTATTATAGAGAGATATAAACTTATAAGTGTATTTAATTAAGATTATAATATCATTCCAGTTCTTTTTTTCTTCTATATGTGTAAGAAAATCTATAACAACATTTATATAAAAGGAAGATGTAGTATTATTTGTTAACATGTAATAACCAAAAGCAGCATTAATGAAACTCACCACAAAGTCTTCAGGGGATATCCAACTATCTCCCAAAACTACTCCTATTCACACACAAGCAAAGAAATATGCATGGTCCAATTTGTTTCACTTTATCAAAGAAGAAAAATATCTCTTACCTCCAAGATGAAGCTTCAATTTGCCAGATTAAACCAAGTTGATAACGAATAAACCAAGCTTAACCGCGATTTTGCGACCATAAGATTCAGCAACAATGAAGAGAGGGCTGCTTCCTCATCACTTTTCACATACAAATTCTTATCTTCCACGAAACTGTAGCCTGCCCCAACTGGACTATCCTTTTCCCCCCAATTTTTGTATTCATCAATAGAAACAGTAATATTAACGTCAACATATCGGAATCGTAAAGAGTCGTCAAATTAGGTACTACGCAATCCTAATCATTTATACATTTTTGAATTACTATATAGTTTTCTTATATATATTTTCAAAAGAAAACAAATCAATACCACAAACAAGAGTTCGGTTTTCTTCAACCAAGTTGAATTTCTGGGCTTGAGAAATGTGTCTAGTGGACCAACCTCCTGAAAATTCCCTATTCCAACTCCTGAAGCTCCCTGTTAAATCAGATCAAATAATTGAAGCAATGATCAACAAACACATTTATTCCAAAGAGAAAAAAAAATGTATAAAAAACTAATGAGACAAGAACAGCATGTTAAATATAAGGTTATACAACCACATATATACATAAAAAAAACTTACAGGTCCACCTTGGAGCCAGAGGATAATAGGCTATGGTTTAGAAGGATCTTCAACTCTATACGGACTTTTATAATGCCACCAAAACATATGTGTTTCTATTTTTCGATTTTGATTATGGAAAACGAGTCAAAACAAAACCATTTAGCTACACCTACTCAACAATACATATATTCTTGATTGTTTGAAATTGGAGGGAGAGATAAAGGACGTACTTGGTCTAACTTCGGCATATCCCCAAGCTTCGGATCCATCGGAGTTGCTTCTGACATCTTTGGTTTCAACATAACTACAAGACACATAATGAGACACAGAATCGCCAGTTGTGCAACTGATCTTTTCATTTTGACGACTCTTTTTGGATCAAGTTCTCTTGATTGTAAAGAGAGGGATAGGGGGAGCGAGAGAGAAAGATAGTTGAACTATAGAGAGAGATAAAAACACTAGGTAGTAATATATGTTAGAATGGAGCATGATTGGTGGAGATTCTTAAAGTGAAGTTCTTAGCGGAATATAAGAAATCATTTCTTAATTTTTAACTAAAAAACCTAAAAACCGGTTCTTAAATGTCTTATTTAAGAACTGGTTCTTAGTTTTCTAAATAAAAGTTAAAAGACGATTTTTTATATTCTACTAAGAATCTCACCCTAAAAATCTTCCATTAATCAAGCTCTAAGGCACACTAACTCAACACCTATTGGTTCACCTTATATGATATATACACTAAGAGCATCTCCAATCCAATATCTTATTTTAAAAGGACTAAAAAACCTCAAAATAATGATTTGAAGGGTGATTACTTACTCCAACCAAAAATCCTCAAAAAAATCCTCAAAAATTATTAATTTGTATTATAGTCTTTGACATTAACAAATTACTAATAATGATAAAACTTCACAAATACATATAAAACATACTTTTAATATACAACACACAATATTACAATATTATATAATAAAATAATAAAATTACATATAATATAAAACAACACACATACACACAATTTTTTAAAAATTACATATAAAATACCAAATTCCTATTAAAATACCAAATTACATAGAAAATTACATATAAAATTCCAAATTTTAGAAAAAAACAACATACACACAAATGTGAACTTTATTTAATGTATTTTCCTATTTGTGTGAGTTTTATTTAATCTAATGTAATAGTTATTCTATTTTATCTTATTTTAGTATATTTAATTTATTCTAAATAAAGTTAGTAGATGTATTCATGAGAAAATAATTGTAAGGATTAAAAAGAAAATGAATAGTAAATTTGAGGTTTTAAATAGTAAAATCCTAAATTCAAAGTGTTATTATTCAAAACATTAAAGTTTGAAGATTTAAGATTGGGTTGGAATGACAAAAAACTAAAAATTTGAGTATTTGAGATCAGATTGGAGATACTATAATAGAAAGAAGGTTTGACCCAAAAACGTACAAAGAAAACAAACATAATGTTTTCTTAAATTCAGTAGCCAATCAAATTAGTCCACAATTTTTTTTTGTTTTTAATTTTATAACCATTAGCCACGCCACTGCCTGAAAGCCCAACTGCGGATCCCACTCTTTTTATTATTTTTGATTCAGTTCTGTAACCCAGACACTTTCTCTCTGTTTCTTGACTCTTTTTCCTGATTAGCAACGCAAACCATGTGTATTTCAACCGTTCTAACTTTTGTTTTGTAACTGTTTTATCAGGCTTTAATTAGGACAGACCTGCTTGGACACATGATAACACTTGGAAAATATTTCACCATCAAATTTTTCTGGCCATGATGTCATTGTTTATTTTGGGAAAATGGTCTATTTCAATCTGAACATTACCAGTCGTGCTTTTTTCCTTCCTGAATTTTGTAATAGTGCGTATTTCATACTGAACTAAATAAAAACTTAAAAATACTACATGAACTTTACTCAGTGTGCTTTTTCATTCCCGAACTTTATAGTAGTGCATATTCCACACTAAACTAACTAAAAGTATAAAAATACTATTTGAACTCTAAAAATCGTGCTTATATATAAACCGTCAAATTTGTTTGTCATCCGTAAATCTATCAAAACAACGTCATTTTAGATCAATATTATAAAAATAAAATTTTTAAAATACTTCATAAACTTGTGAAGTCATGCTTATATATATTAATCATAAAAGATGTTACCCATCAGTTAATTTATTAGAACAAAATCATTTTAGATAAATTCTATAAAATTTAAAATTACTTTTTGGGAGGTTCAAACTTTCACACTAGTGAATAAGTAAGAGCACTATAACTGCTAAACCAAAATAACTTTCTTGTATAAATTGTATAAACATTAACTTATATAATTTTTAATCAAATACATGTTATCAAATTTTTATCCTTTTAAATTTATCAAATAAATCTGTAATTATTTATGTTTTAAATTTAAATTTACAAATAACTATTTTATAAATTTAATTTAATTATTATTAATTTAAATATTCACTTAATACTTGTCGATTAGTGTGAGAATTCGAACATTCCATAATTTTTTTGGTTTTATAGAATTTCTCTTAATTGACGTCGTTTTAATAAATTAACAGATGATTAACACCTTTGATGATTAATATATATACAAGCACAATTTTAAGAGTTTGCGTAGTATTTTTAACTAATTTTACAGAATTGATAAAAATTGGGTCATTCTGATAAATTAAAGGATGGGTAACATCTTTGATTATTAATATATATAGGCATGATTTCACAAGTTTATGGAGTATTTTAACTTTTTTAATTTTATAAAATTGATCTAAAATGACGTCATTTTGATAAATTTTTGGATGACAATCAAATTTGACGGTTTATATATAAGCACGATTTTGAGAGTACATATAGTATTTTTATACTTTTTAGTTAGTTTAGCATGGAATATGCACTACTATAAAGTTTGGGAATGAAAAGGCACAATGAGTAAAGTTCATGTAGTATTTTTAAGTTTTTATTTAGTTCAGTATGAAATACGCAGTACTACAAAGTTCGGGAAGGAAAATGCACGATTGGTAAAGTTCAGATTGAAATAGGCACTTTTCCCGTTTATTCTGCAAGTTTACGTAATCTAGTAGTATTAGCGATGTATTCATGAATTATATAAAATACAATTCACAAGAAAACGAGAATGTATTTTATTTCTTATCTAAAATATTATATTTATATATAAAATATTATAATCCTACTATATATTAAAAATTAATTTATTGCTTTTTGTTTACGTGTTATTCATAATGAACTCTCTAGTTATCTAACAATACTAAAAGCTAAATATCAAGCCCTCTCAGCTATGTCACGTTGGCAATAAAAATCATCCAATCAGAGAGTTTGGATCATCCACGTCATACAACTTATGTTTTCTTTTGGGCTTTCTATTTTTTTGTTTTGGCCTTCTATTTTCGTATGTGGTAAAAAGTTACATAGCCCACTTCGCCAAGCACTATTTTTGTTTGAGTGATTGAGAGTCAATCCCTCGCTCCCCCGACTGCTCCACTTCTTCTCTGTCATCCGTTCCCTCTCTGAAGTTAACGTAACCTTCAGACATTACTGATCCATCAACGAAGTCCTTTTAGCTCCTTTTGATTGTTCCGTTCCACTCACCATTCATCCTCCTATATAAATCGTTGTGTTTACTCTTTAACTCCACACAAAATCAAAACCTACTCTGAAACAGCTCATGAAATCAACCGAAAAATCTCAGCCTTTTACTTTAACGACGTCTCACCAGGTCCAGCCGAATCGGATCTCTGATTTCGCTTGATCCACTTCTGGAAAGCCAGAAACATTGCAAAAGGTGGAACCTTTATGGGATAAGAGATGCTCTTCATCGATGAACATGTATGCCTACTTTTCCCTTATTTTTTATCATCTGAGCATATAACAATCCATGTGTGTTATTTTGGAAGTCCATTTCGACTTGAAATGACATATTAGTTCTTGAAAGCCTTTTTTCTAATTTCATTTGTTGGTTTCATTTGCCCGGAAACAAAAAACATAAGATACGTTTTCGGCATAAGTTAGAAAAGCAAGGGTTTAGCTACAAGACTGCTTTGAAGCTGACTTTGTCTTCACCTTTTTTAAAACTGATGTCTTTACTCATGCTCATCAAAAAAAATTCCTTATGCTTTGGAAGAAATAGATGGGTAATTCTTTATTCTTTATGTGAGCTATTTTATCAGTCTTTTGAAGTTCTATGTTAATCATTATAAGCATTATCCCCTGATGTTAACTCTCAGCATTATCATTTAGATAAACCTCCAAGGTTTTCTGTCTTAATATTTTCCTTACTGATTTTGTATCTTTGATTTGAAGAACCAAGAAGAGATGAGGTTGTACTATCTGTCCGAGGAACTGATTTCAGATAACCGTCTATCTCCAGAATCATGGTATTCTTCCTAGATTCTTCATTACCTCTTAAGTTTAGTTTCGAGACATTAAAAAATAAACCACCTACATTTGAGTACAGATTTTAAAACTCACAACTTTTAACAACCAACTTTTAGCACTAGATTATTTAAAAACGTGTAACTAGATAGTTTCTTTTGGCTTGGAAATCTTTTTTCATATAATGACTGTCTTAGTGAATGGAAAGTGTGCTGTTGGGAACTGCTATAGTTTGTTTAAAGATCATAAATCTGTTCTTAAGATGTTTAAGAGAGATATCCAACTGAATGAAATATCGAAGATATGCACATATGCTTTCTGGTCACGAGTACATTTCTTTTCTATTTCTCTCTTTGTTATTAGTCATATCTAAATTAAAATAATCGAACCCAAGACTGTCCCTTCTCATGTGTATTTATGTTCACGTGTAGCGGTTTGGTAGAGGCCAGTATATCCATCTTCTAGGCTGGGAAATGACTGGACAAGCTGGAAGCTGAAAGTGAAGAAAATGTTCCTTTTTAGCTCCAGAGGCTGTGCTTTACTTCATACTATTTCTAATTATCGTTTTTTGAAAGTGCAAGATAAGGATAGAAAAAATTGATGGACATGATGGATGAGCAAGTTTACCAGTGATATATTCCAGAGTACGGATGAGAACGAGACGCAAACCATTAACAAATAAATAATTTGTAAGGTGATGAGGCTCTTTCTTATATTCTTTTTTTTTTAAAACTTATCATTTGTCCACAAATAGGAGAGTAGTTAGGAGTACGAAAGATGACTGAGAAGAAAGTTTTCTTTTAAAATTAAGCTAAAATGATTTATTGGTTAAAATGTATACATTCTTCTTTTCCTTTGTTGGGCATCCCCATA